CATTTTTAGAATATCGGTTAACCTTTACTGAGATATCATTTTTTCCCATCTCATTAATTCTTCATGAACTTTAATTGTTGTTGTATTCTCATTCTATAGATTCCTGGAAAAGACGCAATCCTATCGTCCCTAACCTCCCTTCAGGCAGAACTAGCTAGTGGACGGCTTTCAGCCTCTGTGCAAGTCCTTCTCCGGAACTTATTTTCATGTGAGTTTCCTTCCTCTTACTTTGCCACCCCCCCCCTGAAACGGAGAATCCGTTTATCCATACCTGATGTTCGTCTGGTTTGACCAGGCAGGGATGGTATTTGTGGAGGTTTCAAGTCAGTTGTTTCAACAACGGCTATGCCTACGTTTAACGCAGACGCCCGGGCTATCGCAAACTATTTTCGAAAAATTGTTTAACCAAGAGATATTATACGTTGATACAATCAACCCAGTGACATATGTTGTATAAAACATAACTGCTTCACAGCCTGCGCTATTTTAGTGTTTCGTGTGCAGGCGAACCTGGGCAGGAAGTAAAAATCAGGTTGCTCGGGTGTGATCCGGCAGAAGGGATAGTGACACCCGTAGATTATACCAACTGCCTGGAGTTGAACACCCTCAGATCACTCCTCCCACGCTACCGTATCACATATTATCCAAGATGTCCCATTCCAGCTTCTGAGATAGTAAATAAAAGCTGTGTCAGGTGTGGCTGCGTGGATTCGCTGCAGCCTTCAGTTCCTCCACGCACGAATAAATGCGAAGGTTTGCGTTCCAGGTGTTTGCTTCTGAGTGTGACCGATTTGGCGTCGGCGTACAGAGTCCTGCGTATTCACCTCCAGACTTACCTTTCTGATAGTTGGTTGGTTTAAATTCCTTATAATTGCCGTGTTTTTTGGCTGCTCTTGTCTCTGACAATGAACTCCTGTACGGGTTTGAAAACTCAGAACAATGAACAAATTCTTCCTTCTCCTTTACTTAATTCCATCACTCCAGAGTCCTTTTGCTCCACGTGTCTGCACCAAGCTTCTCCGTCGGTATATTTACTACTTCCCCAAGAAACCAAATCCACCAGTACATCGAGTTCGCGAGGTTTTCTCCCCATTTACTGCTTATTACTACTTCAGATCGCTTAGACTTGGGGAAAATGATTGAAACATTGAGCCATCATTCGTGCTGATTTCGCATTCATGTGATCAGCGCGTCGTGTATTTCACACAAAAATGTCAAGTTGGCATTGCAACATCGCATATAACAGTTTCTTATGCACCGGAGATCATCGTATGAACATATATCATCATCCATGCATTCGTTTCCGTTCGAGCGCTCGTGATCGCACATATCTGGTCCTTTTTGCATGGATCATTGGCACACCTAGGCGCAGTTTCACGCCATTTTAGCAGCCTGCACTTGACCCCGCCTCCGGTCTTCTTGACCATGTCGTGACACCAGGCGCGATCGGGTGAAGCCAAGGAAGTGCAATAGATGCTATGCAAGTAACCTTATCTGTTCCCACCACTGTAGACAAAATGGGGGATAACTTCGGTAGCGGCCTTCTGCCAAACGAAACCTCCACAGTACGCATCGCCCCTGTCTTTCAACCACAATCACTGCCAAATAAAAGCCTCATTATTGTCCATGTCTTTGAAATTCATCCTTGGCGCTCATCAACCCTCCTCGGGCCTCTTTTTACAATTGCATTTCCAATTTTTTGTTATATTCTAGGAATTCTTTCGGGCTCATTTGTTTCATCCCATTTCTTGTTTTAAATAGCCTATGAGTAGCTTTTTAGCACTAGACACGTGCATGGGGAGTTTTACGCCTCTCCGGTGTTTTTCCTTTTTAGTTATTCAACAAAACGACTACGAGCGCGCTAACGAAACAATCAATGCACTCAGTTCCAATCATGAAATGGAGGTTAGTTACCATGGTTCCGTATTCGTT